CCATGCAAATGGACACCAGGCAGGGAAGAGCTAAGTGCCTATTTATGTAAATATATTCTAGATGGTGACACAAAAATACACAGGAGCAAACACTTCCTAAACACAACTGGAGGTTTCTGAGGGTATCTGAGCTAATTATTAACCTTCTTTGCACCCGCTGCTTGTGAACGAAGGGTTTTCTCCCTGAGTTTTCCTACTAATTATTCTCAAAAGCCAGAGTCGTGTCCTCTACACTGGATCCTGTAAAAGTTTTCCATATAAAAAAGACCCTTGACGTTACAAAGGTGTCACATTGCCAAGCCAGTTTCTGGCTCCCTACTCCAGCAAAAAAACTGGCTAAAATCCAATTTTAGCAGCTAAGTGGATTGTCAATTTATAAAGAGATTCCCTAAGAAGCATAAAGTTAATAACATTTTTCAGTGGAGCAAATCACACATCCAGAGCCTGGATCCATGATGCCTTCACTGCATCATTAGTGAACCATAAGCAGCTTGGTCAGGCAGAGAATGTCCCACAGCAGGTGGAGGAAACCCCTTCCCTTCTCTCTGTCTCCCAGAGCAGCAAGTTCTTCAAGCCTTTGTCTGTACAGGTCAGAAAAAATTTTGGTACATGAGGTTAGGTCAGGTCCTCACTACCTGCCATGTGTATCTGAAACCACAGTGGCGAGGGGCACACGTTAATTTTGGTGAAACATATGAAATTCATCATCCTGGAGAGCAAAGTTTTACAGCTAGATTTGATGTATGGGTTGAAACTTTGTGCTTTGCATAAGCCAGTCCCAACTACATGCATGATGTTTTAAAAGGGCCTTATTTCAATCCTGAAAAATGAGTGCCAGATGTTTCTTTTATCGTGGTGGCCTTCAGTGGAGGCAGTCAACATCTCAGGCTCAGGGGAAGGTCTCAGAAACTCTCTGTGACCCACCTCTTGCCCCATAAAAAAAAAAAAAAGGAAAGCTGTGAGAGAGAACAAAGTAAAGAATAAAATACGATAATTCTGATGAAATCAAACAAGTAAATGAAGGAAGAACTGAAGTCTTCTCCCAGGGATAAAGAGAAGATAGGCTGAAAAATAACGTTCGGGTTCAGTTACCATCAAGCACAGACCAATTATAAGAAAATCATGAAGAACAATGACTTTTGCTTTTTGTTTGTTATTTGATTATTCCTTTCAAACCAAGTGTGCTCTGAATGGTTCCCTTTGAACTATACATGCCATAAGCAGGAGATTAAAAGGCCTGTAATCACACCTCACCATTCCAGCTTCTCTGCAGGTGACACTGGGGATGAGGTTGCTTCCACAGAGGGGAGAGTCTAGCTGTTAGGATTTATTTGTTTAATTAACTGTCCTATTTTCTTCTTTTCTTCCTAGAAGCAGCTGTTCGTTCACTCCAATCTCTCCATTTCAAAGAAACCTCATCCCTTTTGAAGGAAAGAAGTGCTCTCCAGGCCAAGCTTTCCCCTGACCAGAACCCCATCAGGACACCTCTGGCCAGGAAAAGATTTATTCCTGCAAGTGCTAAGTTTTATTTTCATTCCTGTTAGGTTGATTCTCTGGCAGTTTTGATTTTCCTTTCCATTTTTGTCTGTCCCAAGTACTTTTCCCTGCTTGCTGAATGAATACATGGAAATCCTTGCTTTCTTGCTAGTGAAACAATTTAGTATTTAAGTGTAAACTTAAAGCAGTGTCAGTGTGTAGGTACCCCCTGAGTTAGGGCACATACCAAGAAGGTTCCATTCCTCGATCTACCACTGACTAAATTCGTCACCTTGCTTCAGATTTCACCCTTCAGTGAAATGGGATAATGATCCTTCCTTAACTCATAGGGCAAGAATGTCATTAATATTTGGACTTGGTTTCAGATTCTCAAAGAAGAGCTTTTCCATTATATCATTTCCCTGTTTTGGCCAGCCCTGGGACTAAAGATGTGACTGTAGTTCCAACTCCAGCAGTGCCAAGTCTGGTGGGTGTGGTGCCATCACCTGAAACACTTGGTGCCTTTACAGTGGATGTTGTTGGAACTAAGACAAGAGGGTTTTTTTAAGCAAAACTTCAATTTGAACCTCTGTGAGTTTCAGGAAGGTTTATATTCAACTCCAACTCCCAATTCAGCTGCTTGGGACCATCAAAGACAAACCTATGAGTGAAAAAGCATATGAAGTGGCAAGAAAAGGGAAGAAAGGGGACTGCAGATGAAAAAAAAAAGATATAACAAAATAAGTGAGCAGAGGAAAACCAACAAAAGCTGAAAGTTCATCAAATCTGCATGCAAGGAACTGGACTAGTTTCAAAAGTGGAACTGAAGACTGTATTAGGATCTGATTTTCTGTGGCTCTTGCTTTTGCCTCAACTGTCCCAGTGCTAATGCCCTGCAGTGCTGACACAGGCTGCACAAAACATGTGGATGTGCTGCGAGTGCCTTGATGGAGGGCACAGAGATCTGAAATGAAAGAGCAAAGAGTGCAAATGCCATTCCAATTCCCTGCCAGGAACACAGCCCCTTAATGATCTCCTAGAGGCACATCAGGTAACAGAAGGATTCCTAGCTGCTGCCACAACTGTTCAGAGTCCCCAGACACAGGATGTGGAGTGATTAATGTGTCATTGTGAATGCCAACCCCTTGCTCCTGGAAAGGGGATGGAGATGCTCTTGCTGCTGCTGCCCCACAACGGGCAGATGAAATATATATATATATATACATATATATATGTATGTATGTATCTCTGCATGCAGAGTCTGTGCTCTGCAAGAAGTCACCCTTTGTTTCTGCAGTGCCTGCAGGTTTCTGTGACTGATCCTACACTGAACCCTAAGATGGAAAATCAAACCCAAAATTGATGGATTGTTCCTGAAAGGGGCCTGGAATTAAATCCAGCCCTCAGCAGGTACAGGGTTACACAGTTCCCTTTCTAAGCTGCCATGGCCCGACTCTGATAACCACAAAAATACCTATTTGTGTATTACCACTTTGGCACACCCCACACATAACTTAAATACCATTCCCATTTCCCTCAAACCCGCCTGCAAATGAATTATTTAGTGTGGAGCAGGGAGAGAACTTGACATGTCTGACATTTGAATGCTGCAGTGTTCCTGTACCTGCAGAGCTGGAGCTCCCAGGTAATTATCCAGCCCTGCTGCTGTGTGGAGGCTCATGTGTCTTCAAGACCTTAATAAATCAAGGCTTACTTGGCACTGGTGTGGTGTGTGAGGCTGGGCAGGTGTTGAGCTGTGAATGCTGATCTGAACTGGGATTGCAACAGCAGGACACAGTGGCTCTCAGCCTGCTGGGTTTGGAGCTCAGTGTTCTGCTCTCAGTGTGTTCTCTGCCACTGACCTTCGGGCTGGGAAGTGCCTTTTGCCATGTTTATGTGGCACCCAAAGTCTCAGCCTAATTCACTTCTCTGTGTAAGCACGACATGAGGGTGATCATAATGGTTTTTAGTATGTCGTGTTTTTCCCCTGAACATGGTTTAAAAGCTGTCATTTAAGCACAGAGGCACTGCTAAAGCATTATTGTGGTTAGGGCTGAAATACCCACCCAGACACAGCACGTGCTGGTGCTCCAGAGCAAGGACAGACATACAGAAACATGCTCTCAGTTACTATTCCAAGGAGACAGTCTATCTGTAAATCAAACATGTGGCACACTTTGCTTCAGATTATCCTCTTGATGCACCAAAGCAGCATCTAATCAGCTTTCACTCTAACAAATACAGATTTGTGTCATAAGTGATGCAGGAAATAATACACAGTCTCACTCTGCACTCACAGGAGAACAATAACAACCTTTTCCCGGGAGGGTCTGAGGTGTTCTGTGTACAAAGCAAATACCAGCGTGGAGAAAGGAGAACTTTGCATGATGTGAAAACTCTGGAGGGATTAGAAACACTTCGTCAGTCAAAGATTATGTTACAGTCCTGCAGTACTCTGTACAGAACTGCAGAACCAAACCCTGATTGTTTGAACATAAGGTGAAAGAATTACATTTTAAGTGCACATTTTAATAGAAGAATTCTTAGAAGAATCCTGGTAAGAATCAGAAATAATTTCTTTTACTCTGGGAAAATGTTTACCATTGCGTCATTACTAACGAGAAAATGAGGCTTTCTGAAATTCAATACATTGTAATACGCCTTAAAGTCTTCTGAAAGCTCAGCCTAATCAGACAACTAAGGATTCTGTAATTATATGTAAAAGTCTGTAATTATGTGTAAGAGTTTTACCCAGATTTTCATTCTTGACTGCAGAGCTGTGTTAAGATACATTCAGAATTCCTGGTTTAGTTGTTACTCTGCTTACTCAGACAAGTTCCATTGATCTCAAAGAGCTTTGTGTACACATAAAAACAGATTAAAAGCTGTGAAAGACCAGCTTTTTGTCTTTAATTTTAAGCCTCGGGGAATCTGATTTATTCTCCTGAACTTTAAGTCAGACATTTTTTCACCTTCTAACTCAAGGACAGGCAGCAACTTGAAAAAACTCAGCTTCCAAAAAAGTCATACCTTTTTTTTTTGTAGTCTGAAGTAGATGATTAGTTGGGAAACTTCCTCTCTGGAGCAGCAGGAGCGGCTGAGGGAGCTGGGGGGGCTCAGCTGGAGAAAAGGAGGCTCAGGGGGGACCTTCTGGCTCTGCAACTCCCTGACAGGAGGGGGGAGCCGGGGAGGTGCGGGTCAGGCTCTGATCCCAGGGAACGAGGGACAGGAGGAGAGGATATGGCCTCAGGCTGTGCCAGGGGAGGGTCAGGTTGGACATCAGGAGGAATTTCGTGCTGGAAAGGGTGGTCAGGCCTTGGCAGGGGCTGCCCAGGGAGGTGGTGGAGTCCCTACCCCTGGAAGTGCCCAAGGAACGACAGGACGTGGCACTCAGCGCTCTGGTTTAGTTGGCAAGGTGGTGATCAGTCACAGGCTGGACTTTGATGGAGGGCTTTTCCAACCTCAGTGGTGCTGTGACTCTGGGAAGTTAAACCCTCTGTGCTGTGATCAGAGCCAGGGGCAGGATGGCGGCGGTGTCACAGAGTGCCCGGAGCGCGGGGTCGGTCGGCGCCGTGCTCTGCCTGCCCCGGGCCTGCTCCAGCCTCAGGCTACGCGCTCATTGAGCTCCTCACACGGAGGGCAGCCCTCATCCCCCTGTGCCTCCAGCACGACGGTGGTACCACAGCCCAGAGACGCTCAGGGCTCCTGGACAGCCCCGGCCCCGCGCCCGGGGGGTCACTGGGAGAGCGGGAGGGGACGGGGGGGCTGCCATGGCACTGCAGCTGTGAACTGGGGGACACAACTGAGGGACCTGGGATCGGGGGGCTCAGCCCCGCTGTCCGTGAGGGCTCTGAGGGATCGGGGGGCTCAGCCTCGCTGTCCGTGAGGGATCAGGATAGGGGGCCTCAGCCCCGCTGTCCCTGAGGCACTGAGGGATCGGAATGGGGGGTCTCAGCCCCGCTGCCCCTGAGGGATCGGGATCGGGATCGGGGGTCTCAGCCCCGCTGTCCGTGAGGGCTCTGAGGGATCGCAGAGCTCAGCCCCGCTGTCCCTGAGGGATCGGGGGGATCAGCCCCGCTGTTCCTGAGGCACTGAGGAATCGGGGGG